AAATTATAGAAAATAAATAAAATTAAAAAGTTTTATATATATTAGAAAAGAGAGAGAGAATATTTAATTACCAGAAGGTGGAAATGAGCGAGTGTTTGCCAATTTTATCAAACTATTTCAGTGCGAGCTGATAGAGATGATCAGTGTAAAAGATAAATATTTTATCAAATACAATATAAATATTTTAGTTTTAATCGGTTCCTTTTATTGACAGTTCGTTTGTGACCTTATCAAAAATTGAAATTTGCTTCATTTCACTTAATCTGCTTTTTTAGTATTATAACCACCGGTATTATATTTCACATATTTCAAAATTTTAAATAAATTTATGTAATATCTAACCTTTTTCTATAATCTAACATTTTTGTATCTATCTTTCTAATATAATACAAATATAATGCAAATATATTATTAAAAAGTATAATATGTCAATATTATAAATATAATTATATATAAATAATACATTTTATCACACAAAATAAAAATTAAATTGTAACTATAAATAATTTTTTTAATGTTATATGTGAAAAAATAATTAATAATGTGTGTGACTTGCAGTACAACAATAAAGAACAAAAAGAGTTTCCCATTATTACTTAAAAAATAACAAATAATCACTTACCTTAAAGTTGCTCCGCCGGCGCCTGATGCTCCTCCTCAGCTTCCTCCTCCTCTCAGTCTTCGCAGTCCACGCAGTTTTTCAAGGCACTCACACGGGACGCGAATAGTTTTTACAACAATTCAAATACTCACACGCGACGCAGGCATTGCACGCGTGCATTTTCGAAGATAAAAATCGCGCGACACTTTAAACGGCATTCCCGACGTCGCCAGAAAATTTAATCAAAAAGCCCGAAGGCGAATACGATAATTTCTCGATGTCAATCGTGCGCAACGAACAAAAGCGGAATTGATCTGTAAAATACAAAATCGAGTTTAGATTAGTAGTGAGTTAATCATAATTAACATTTTATAAAGAAAAATATTATACGTATTAAATTTTTCAATTATTTCTCAAAATACTTATATGCATTAAGAAAGATCTAATTCTTTAATAAATATCAAAAACTTGAATTAAATTTGATTGAAAAAAATTGAAATTATTTGCGTTGTAAAGCATAAACAATTATTATAATACTAAAATATCAAATAATAAATAAAGATAATTAAAGATGATCCACTAAAGCCCAATGGCTATAATGGCACCTTTAACGCATTATACATGCGCTTGCCACATAAGAGCCATTGCTCGACTCGCAATGTTGTGTCAGGGTACGTTAGCTTCCCCTTCTGGATAAACCATCTGGGTACTGAGCCCTCCCACCACGACAAGGTGTACCCATGAGAGGGGATATAGAGATTCATAAAGATTCATTTTATTGCGATAAAAAGAAAGAATAATTTCAATAAATGCCAGTAAAGTTACCTAATGCGTTTTGCAATATTTAAAGTATTTTGCTATTTTGTATTATAATGTATAAGCGAATGACAAAGATATAGCACGAATATTATCGCACGGATACGTTCAACATCCTGTAGCGTTCACAGCAGGAAGTGATAGAAAGCAGGAAGATCAGAAATAAAACCGATCATTATCTATTTTTGTTGTTTAATTTACACAAATGGCTTTGCTCTATTTGATGATAAAATTTAGCACGAGACGCGATGATGTTTCATGATAAATGACATAAAATATAAACAAGACTATTTTAGAAATAAAAATTAGGGAATCAAGAGAGTAAAAATTATTCTTTCTTAGGAAGGAAAAAATTGTGTGAAGAAGGAAAAATAAAATATTAATCAGCGAGCGTAGCTGATAATGAAATAATTAATAAATATGAAATACTATCTGAATACGGGCCTAAAACGTTCCCTCTCGCGTTTGTCAATTATCGACATTGCTTCTGTCAATCCACACGAATTTTATAAACTTCATGCCAATGCAAGCATTGCTTTTCCGTGACAGTATTTCCGTGACGCATTGTTTAATGCTCCATGGAAGATTCGTACGAAATAGCGGCGACGATACACACGACCGCTTCTAAGGATGCCCGTGATATGACGCTATGCGAATTATCCTTCTCGTCGTATTTTACATTGTGGCTTATGTGGCAAGAATTGCGGATGGTCGGGATACAACCAGGACTATGCTAGGTAATTGCTTAAACAAATTATGAAATAATTACTTCATGAAATAAATTTCTCTCTTTTTTTCGAAATGTTTTTCTATCAAGCGTTAAGATTTTTGTCGTAATACAAATGATAATTATTTTCGCAACAATTTTGCTCGTAATCTCCCATTTCTCTTTTTTTAAATACCTGTAGGAAACAGCGTGAAGCATATTTTCAGACAGAAAAGTAAAATAACACAAGGTAAAATATCTGAACCTGTCGACGACGAAATAATTCAGAAAATAAACAGGCATAGCAGGCAAACGTTATTAGTGAATCGAATAGACGGTTTTTCGCAGAACAAAAAAAATTTAGCGCGAGTAAAACGAAATCTGCGAAGGAAGAAGAGACGTGCGAAAAAACTGAGCAAAATCGCGCGTCATCAGAATGATGATATCGATGAAGAGAACGTTTCATCGAATATGGCAAGATTACAAAGACACCCGATTTGGCAAGTCCCGGAGTCAACGATTGCTACAGTTAATTTGAAGCAAACGACGATTGCACAAGTAATTAATCAATCGTCGTTCATGTCTACGAAGCTGCCATCGCAGTTAAAGAATTCCGATCGCTCCGTCAACAAAACAATTCTTTTTAAATATCCAGATTTGCAAAAGTTATCCAACAAAAATATATTTGATAAAAATTTAGTATTTTACAAAATCACAGATCCAAAACTCGGAATTGAATCCGCAAGACCCGCTTTTAAAAAATTGAATACTAAAATACTACTTCCTGTATATCCTCTTTCTACTGATATTTCGTCGAATTTTAGTAAATCTCAAGGATTTCAACGGCGATATGGTGGATATAAAAAAGGCATTTCAAGCCCAAATAAAGGAGACTCATCCGATTATCGTTCAACAAGACCGAGTAGAAGATTTCTGCTAGTACCAATTTCTAAAAACTTGTACGTCTTGAAAAACATTCAAGATAGTCCTCGAATAGACACAGATAGAATAATTATCTCTGACAAATCAGTAGAAAAAAATAAAGATAACGCAACACCTGCGATGCTTTTATTTAAAGCGCATCTTCATCACGATATAAAGGATGCAGGCAAAGCGTATCGTCGGAAATATTTCAACAATTATCACTTAACTGATCATAATGCGAATTATTTGTATCCCGATCATCGCGTCTTCGAAGAAAAGACGAGTCCTGCGGAAAATTCAATACCACCGTCGTATCCTAACATTTTGTATCCGACTATCGGCTTTCAAACTCATCCGAATTTAATCGACTTTGCGCCTGAAATATCCCACGAACAAATTATTCATAGTGTTCCAGATTATGAAAACACTTCTCCTACGGATAGCGATATTAATTTCGACGGTGAAATAGATTCGCTTCTATCATCATCAACTTCCTTTGAGATGCCTTGTTACGATGCAACTTCGTATTTTAAGAAAGATATAAATAACCGCCAACCTAACATTTTATCGGCTGTAAAATTGAGCAAAATAAATCAGTTTCAGTCGGAAAACTCTTTGGGATATAACGAGTTCGGTGTTGAAATCACAACTATGGACTTTCGAAGTACTTTTGACACGTTGGATTATAATATAGATGCACCAATCACTGTGGGAATGTATTCAACTAGTGTTGATAAAAAAATATTTGACATATCGCAAAGTGCAGAAGAAACCTCTGAATTTTCAACAAAAAGGAGGAAAGATGATAAAATCAATCTTATGAAATTTTCGACACAATGCGAGTCTGTTTTTGACGAGTCCGCAATCAAAGATAATAATTTCTTTTCGAATACTACATATTTTTTTACTAATAATGATGAAAATATTTTAAATAATCAAGATATAATTACAGATAATAAGAAATTTATAATTTTGACTCCGAGTATAAATAATGATAAACAATCGACTCATATTGACGCTTTTAATAATAAATTGATCGATGAAACATTATTTAATGATTATACTACTAGAATGGATTTGTTCCTTAATGCTGAAAATCACACAATATCTGATGCTAATAAATGGCCGTTAAAGAAAAAGCAGTTTAATGCAAACCCACGCACTTTATTAATGGCACTTAAACCATTGTCCTCAGATTTGCAAAAATTGTTAAGCGCCGTCGAATTAGTCAATCAGAGTATCAGCAAGGTGCAAAGCAAACTTTGCGATAAAAAAAACATTGTTAGATTAACGAAAATAAAAAAAGGCAGTAAAAAAAGAAAAACTATGAATATTGCAAAGGCATTGAATAATTCACATCATTACAATTCTAATTTCTTCAACAATCAATTTTTGAGCAACAGACGAATTAAAATCAAAAGCGAAATTGTTGCAGATCAAGCAATCAGTGATGTAGAATTAAAGAAAAGAACAAATTTTTTGTTTTTAAATAAATTAACAACACCATTGTACAAACGTGGAAGCTCGACTAAAAGCTTAAAAATACAGAACGGTCGTAGAAACTTTCTTATAAAAAGAAAGTTAAATGAGAAAAAGTTTCCCAAATTAGGCGACGTTGAAAGACGCAGAATGTCTCATTTGAGATTTAATAGAAACTTAAAATCCTTAACAAAAAACTACGGAGCGCAGAAAGTTAAGTCAGCTCGACAATTTACGAAACCCAGATTTGGAAAAATAACGCACACAACGATACCTATTTTAACATTGTCGCGTTTGATAAAAAGTAATGTATCGAGCAAAAGTAATTTTTTAAACAGGCTTTCTTTGTCGGGGAAGAAATCATTTTCGAATATATCCACGAAAAAGGATGATCAAGCATATTTCTTATCAAATAACAAACGAAACGCGGCGCAACGTAAGAGAGCAATGCAGAAAGAAACAAATAGTTCTGACATGGCGGAAAAATTGTCTTCCATTGATCCGCCATCTCACAAGGAAATGACGGCTTACCAAGAAATACTTGGATTGTTGGACGTGACAAAGAAACCTCGAGTGGAATATCCGACAGTTGTTACCGCGCGGAATGTAACGGAGTCACTGCTCGTGTTTACAACAACAGAATTTTTCGCAACTACGACATCCTTGCCGTATTTTATTAAAGAACCATCAACCACCGTTTCGACAATTGCGGGACAAGAATCTCCAGAAGCGACTGAGTACGAGTTCATAACGGCTTCTGACTTTGAGTACTACGGCGAAGATTACGACACGCATGATTACACGGGAATATATGAGGATTACGAGGATGAAGGAAACGTCACATCCTGGCATGATTATACGGAAAAAACTACGACTGCTATGAAGGAAAGAATCGCAACTGGCGTCGTATCGGAAATTATTTTTGAAGAAACAACACGCAGCGTGGCGGAAATCGAAACGTCTACAGAGACATTAATTTGGCATACAACAGTTGAATATCCGTTTACTGTTAGTACATTAATTGAAATGACAACTGCGGTGATAATTTCTGAAATTTTGGAAACTGCATCGGTGACAGAGTCGCCGAGTGCTTTTATCGTAACGATGCCAACTACGCTGCTATTTTATACAGAATCAACGACTCTTTCCATCGATGAGGATGCGATATTATTTAATGAAATCACGACTGAGAAAGCAGTTACGATATCAACTATCGTATATCCTACTGAAATAACCGAGATATCCGGCGTAATTCCGATAACTGAAAAATTTATAACCGAATCTGCCATGCTGTTGACTCCGCTTTTGGAAGGCATGACAGATATTACTTTGAGAATTACGATTCCTGCAGTTACTAAAATATCAATCAAAGAGACGACTGAAAAAGAAACAATAATTACATCAGCGACATTGGCAATGGAATTAACACGAAGTCTTCTTACTGAAACGAGCACATCTTTATATACACTTTCAACTGCGACATTAGAAACGACCGTAGAAACAAAATCGACCGTTCAAGTTACAACTCCTACCGTAGCTTTAAAACCTCCGGCAATTACAGAAAGACCGCAGACTACAACGTCGATAGGCGAAACTATTTCTGTAACCGAAAGAGCCATTATAGTAACAACGATAAAATCTACAACTGCTTTGAGTGGCCGTACAACTTTGCACGAAGCGAGTAAGATTACGTATATAACGAGAATAGAAACGGAAATGGAAGACGTGACGCCGTTTTCGACGCGAATTGTAACATTCGCAACTCACGTCCCAACGAATGCTACAAAAATGGAAGAAAAAATTACTTCAGTTGTCAAAGAGAATAAAACCACATCTATAAAAGAAGTGACTAGTGGAACTATTCCGAAAGAACTGAAAACTGCCATTACAGAAGTACTCACTACGATTAATGTAACTGCAAAGACTGAGAGTACGATTAAAACCTCGACAATTACAAGCGAAATTATTACTACAAGATCTGCCACACCAACAAGCGTAAGCTCACTTACAATTTCAGAAAAAACAGAAACGATTTCAAGCACGGAAGCTGAAGTAACCGCTTCGACACCGGAGGAAGAGAGTCCGGTTACGCAGATTGAAAAAACTATAACTGCGGACGAAATGACAGCTACAGAAACCCCAACAATCACCGAGATTCCAACAACCACCGAAATTTCAACAACAATAAAAACCACTGCAACTACCGAAACTATTGAAATTTCAACGACTGGAAAAAGTACAACAATTACCAAAATTCTAACGTCTATTGAAACACCGACAGTTACCAAAACTTCAACAGTTGCAGCAAAAACTAGTAAAGTCCCAATAACTACAACAATTATCAGAACCTTAATGCCTAGAAATCTAACAACTGCCAAAATTCTAACAACTGAACAACCTACTAAAGCTCTAACTACTATCAAACCTTCGGTAACTACTAAAATTCCAACAACTATAGAAACTACGACAATTACAAGAATATTAATACCTACAAATGTAACAACTACTGAAATTTCGACAACCGAAACTTTAACGCCAACTGAAACTCCAACAATTACCGAACTTTCGACAACTACTGAAATTTCAACGACTATTAAAAGTACAATAATTACAAAAACATTAATGCCTACAAATGTAACAACTACCGAAATTTCGACAACCGAAACTTTAACGCCAACTGAAACTCCAACAATTACCGAACTTTCGACAACTACTGAAATTTCAACGACTATTAAAAGTACAATAATTACAAAAACATTAATGCCTACAAATGTAACAACTACCGAAATTTCGACAACCGAAACTTTAACGCCAACTAAAATTCCAACGATCACCGAACTTTCAACAACTACTGAAATTCCAACAACTATAGAAACTACGATAATTACAAGAACATTAATACCTACAAATGTAACAACTACCGAAATTTCGACAACTGAAACTTTAACGCCAACAGAAACTTCAACGATTACCGAACTTTCGACAACTACTGAAATTTCAACTACTATTGAAAGTACAATAATTAGTGAAACATCAACAACTAGCAAATATCCAACAATTACAAAAATTGCTACAATCACCGAAAGTGAAACATATATCGAAACAACAACCACAACAATCGAAATTCTAACGCCTACTAAAACAACTACCGAATCTCCAAAGATCAGCGAAATATCGACTACCAGCGAAACTCCAATAATTACAGAAACTGCAATAACCAAAACTCCAACACCTACCGAAATTTTAACAATTATTAGCACTCCAACAATTACCGAAACGCCGATAATTATTCAAACTTCACCAATGGCTAAAACTCAAACAATTATCGAAATTCCAGTGACCACCGAAAGTTCAACGATTATGGAAACTCCGACAATAACGAGCATTTATATTACGACGTCTTTTTCAATTGAAAGTACAATATCAACCGTGACAACAAAGTTTCCAACAAAAGAATTTACATCAATCACGCCCACGATTTTTACCACAATCGCGAGCACCTCAGCTTTTTCGATAACACCTGTTACAACGGTTTCTTTTAAAACCACAGTTCCCGTTATGTCATTAGAATCAACAACGACAACGCTATCACCGCTAATTGCGAATATAACGTTAAGCGAAACGCCGTGTACTACGATTTCTTCTACATTCTTTAAAACAACGAAAGAATTATTAACCTCTACAGCAGTATCTACGACTGAAATGGTCCTCACCACATCATCTATCTTGGAGAATGCGACGGTTTTTAGTACAAATATTAGTACGATCACAACGGAGATTTATGAAAGTACAATAACGACGCCTTCTCTCACGAAAATTCCAATCGCGACACCCATCGTGATAGCCACCGAGACAACTTCTTATGAAACTACTCCTACCGTAATTTCCACAACTCTTTCAACGCAGATTACTGAAAGTACGATGCCCACAAGTACAATATCTCCATTAGAAACATATGAAGCAAGCACGGAAGAAGAGACAACGATGATTTCGACTACAATTGAGTTTACAAAAGAAGAACGTACAAATTGGACTACTATCGAAAAAATCACTATAATATCGACAGCCATTTTTTCTACTGAAAAAAGCACAACATCGACAACAGAGACGAGCATCAGTTTAGTGCCAGCAATAACGATTTCCGCAACTTTGCCAGAAATTACTACAGAAACTGTGGAGACAAGTTTAATAACAACGATTGCTGTAGCATTGTCGACTACTGAAAAACCAGAATATATGACGACGACGGAAGTTACTGTGACATTTACCCCATTTTTCGAATTGCCGGAGACAGAAGAGTTTACAACTGAAAGTCTAGTATATACTACAGAAAGTTCTACAACACTATTTACCGAAATAACAACTCCTCTCGCTATTTCGACTTCGGCAGCAAGCGCTGAAAGAATGCCGGAAATCGAAACAGAATATTACATAGCGCAGGGGCCGCAATATGAAGAATATGAAGACTACGATAAGGAAATACCGACAGGCGAGTGGTTCGATTATGAAGAGTACGAAACTACGACGAAGGAAGAAATTTTGAGCACAGTAAAATATACGAAAGCAGAAGAAGGATCCACGAGTCCGTTTTATGAGAAAGTTACGACGGTGTCTTTGTACGAAACCAAGATTTCCAAGTTTACAACGTACTCGACGAGCGCTGCTTACACCTTGAATATTTCAAGCACGCCTTATACATACGTTGAAGAAGAAGTTACTTCTACCTTGAAAACGTCAATTATTGCTGAAAATACGACGACGAGCGAAGTGGAAACCGAATCCACGGCATCAATCGCGAGCGAAGTGGAAAAGTCAACGACAAGCCCGACTTTCGGCTCCACCGAAGAGTACAGTCTTCCCTCTTCCACGGTGTTTGAAATTACGACGAAACCTTTACCGCTTGAATATCCAACAGTCTCTCCCGAGTACACAGAGAGTACAGAATCCACGTTAGAGTCTTCGACAGAAACGACGCGTAATTTGACTCTGCCGAAATTCGTGACGAAACCTAAAGAGATTCCGGAGATCGAGAGAATTACGACTTCGGAGCGAATTTTGACGGAGACTAGAGTTACTGTGGAAACTTCCTTCTTCGTCTCGTCCTTGCTGACTACGTTATCGGAAAAGGAAGCCGTCGAAGTGCACGTAACAATCGCAAGTCCCGCATCTCGGGAAACTGCCATTGAAACCGGATATGAAAGCACCACTCGGGCAACAACGGCGATGCTAATTACGGAAGAAGAATATATCACGCCGTTTATCGCTTCCGAAACTAAATTTGAATTTATTACGACGAGTGTCGCACAGAGAGATCAGTTGCTACAACAGCTCGATCGCCTCAAGGAACACGAGAGAGAAATGGCAGAGAGAGAAGAAAGACTAAAAGAGAGAGAACGACAGTGGGACAGAGAAAAGGAAGAACGCTCGCAAATGATACGCGAAAAAGGAGAAATGGAGAATATTACTAGCACAATCGCCGGCTACGTCACGACTGCTGTTACTAATCTGACAACTCTCATCCATATTGTTAGCACAGAAAATTTAACTGCATCGACTTCTACAGAGATTGAGATCTCGTCTGCTCTCGCCACGATAAGTTTACCTGAAATTATTACGATTTCAACTCCATTTTACAGTACAGAGGAAATTACACCTGCAACATATACTGCGGAGATAATAGAGCAAATAACTACAGAAGAAAGCACGACATACGTCACAACGGAGACAGAAGAACTAGCTGTACTTTATACTACAGAAAGAAGCACGTACATTACAGAAGAGCTGGAGAAAACGCGTGTTACGGATTACATAATTTTTACGCCGTATATCACTACATCAATTACGGATTTATATGGAATCAGCATAACTTCGATCGAAGCCACTACTCCGTATTCTATCGAGGAAACGTACACAAGTTATGGAACAATTTACGTGAGTGAACCTTCATTCACGTCGCCAGCATTGTTGTTTACCAGCACAACTACTTTGGCTATTAGCACAGAAACAGAATACGAGGAGATAGAAAGGTTGAAGGAAGAATTGCGCAAGAGAGAACGTGAATTAGAGGAGAGAGAGAGGATATTGTTGGAAAGAGAGAAAAAGCTAAAGAAAGATATATTAGAATTTGAGAAATATATGAAAGAATTCGAAGAAGAAATGATTGACAGATCATCCATGAAATCGACTGTGCCGACGAGTTTGTCCACGCCGGTGCCACCGATTGAAAAGACCACCGCAAAACTCGAAGTAACAACGCTCGCTATAACCGAAAAGAAAGAAAATCGCACCACAACATCTCGATATAAAACTACGAAAGTGGAAGGCGTCGAAGAAAAAGCGACCACGCCATTGGAAGAAGAGAAAATCGTGACAAAAAGGATATGCTTAAATGTTTTGGAGAATACGACGATTCCTTCGGATAAAATAAGAAGAGGTATTGTCACTAAAAAGATTTGCCTGCCATATTTTCCTGAGAAAAATGAGAAGGAGAAGCCAGTCGGTAGATTAAGCAGGAAGCCTCTTGCTTTTCAAAGAACGAGAGAATTCAGGCAGCCAAAACATCTGTCAGATTTTCGATTTAGAAAAAAGAGACAAGAAAGAGCGAATACGCGTAAAATCAGTAACTTACAGCTGTTGCATCATGAATGGTTGAGTAATGAAACCGCGAAACCGTTGCAACATTTCAAAAGCTTCACAAGAATCTACCAAAAAATACGAAAACCTTTTCTAAGAAACGTTGCTATTATTAATGCACAAGAAAACGCTATCAATAATTTTTATAATATAACTTCTTTGTACGAACGCCGCGTTCTCGATCACTACAAAAATTTCTTTCAACCGACTACAAAGTCGACATTACATAGTAAAAAATACGAAAAAAGAAATGCCTTCTTGGAATATAATTTAATTCCTGCTTCAAAAAGACAAAAATTCTCCAATAATGACAAAATAAACATTAAAAAGCGAGATATTTCGGCAACAAAAAAAAATGTCCGATTTTTATCAACGAAAAATACAGTTAATATTTCAAGTCAAAAAGCCACAACTGCAATAGCCGAAAAGAAGGAATTAAATAGCGACGAGGACGAATTCTACACGGTAAATGTAGTGCAACTCGACTACAATGAAAACGAAGAGACGCATAAAGTAATATCTGCTAAACCTGATGAGAATGATTTAACAGTAATTACAATTACAACACCATACTATGAGCTTGAAGAAGAAGCGGATCTAAAAGAGGACGATGAACTTTCAGAGGAAACAGAAAAAAAAATAGAAGAAGAAAATGATGATATCGAAGACATGATAGACAGTAAGTAAAACAGCTCATTCTGAAATACATTTTAATATCTACAGATTTTTTGTTTGTACTAATTTATGTTATAATTTCGCAACACGGTTGATTATGTGCACAATATAATTTACATTATTTTGACAAGATTATTGCGTTATGACTTAACAATATATATAATTTTCTGTTTAATATTTTTTATTTCTGTAGATTATATGAATTACGAAGAGCGCGAGACGTCAACTCTGACATACGATACGAAATTCTTAGATAAAGATAAAAACAAAAGAATGACGGAAGGCAAAGCAGAATTGTTAGATCAAATATGGCCCACGGAAAAAATCACGTCATACCACTTGGGTGGTACAAGATTTTGGGAACTGGACTTCAAAGTTACGGAAACATCAGTATCTAATACCGCGACTGATAAAAGCACAACTTTTGATCTATCAGTTACTAAAACAACGTGTTTCCATGTCATTCTAAAAAATGAAAGACACAGCGATTCGGAAATAAAACGTAATATACATAACCATAAACAAAACACTTATAACAATAAAACAAAAAAATACAACATAAAAAAGAAAGATACTAGTCTTAAAAATGTAACAAGAAAAAATGCATTGCGTAATAAACTAAGAATAAAATGGTCTGGCGCGACAATGAAAGAGTTAAAATACAATCTGCAAAACAACTTGCACGGATCGAATCACCATAAGCAGAATTCCGAACGAAAAAGAATGGTGAAACCTGGCGAGTTTCCGCTATCAGTTTTCGTTGCCGGCAATGAAAGTTCAATAATAGCGAGAAGCCGTAAGTTGTGCGGCGTTAAGGAAAAGAAAAAACATGAAAAGCACAAAGATGCTGTAAATATTAAAAATAAAACAAAATTAGCAAAATCGCAAAAATCACAAAATGTTACTTTGCATTCTCCCAAAAATTATACAGATAGCTGTATCACGAATAAAAAAAATTCAGACAAACATCATAAAACAAAGATTGCGAAAACGACCGCCAATCACAATTTTCACGTAAAAAAAAGCGTAACACATCCAAATGTTATTGTTGATCACAAAAATAAATCTATCTCGCATAAAAGAAAACACCACGATTGTTTCAATTGCATTTGTGATATCACGAATGTAATTAACGACATAAAATCTATATTAGACAAAACAAGCTTCCCGTTAGACGAAATTAAGGCGCTTAATTGCAATAAATACAAAGAGACTCAGGACAAAATAATGATTTCAATGAATTCCGATATGGAAGAGGCTAAAGAATTTCCACAGTCACATTACAACACCGAATTCCTGAAGGGTCAAAAATACATCAAACTAGAAGAGCTGGAAGATGATTTTAAAAGCGATTTGGAACTCGAAAACGGTATTTTGCAATTTTTTGCCGAATATTTACTGCTGAAATTTTTCCGTAATAAAAATATAAAAACATTTCTATTCCCTTTTTAGATCACGATATCATTTCGTTACCCGGTCTTAATCTCAATTTACCCTGCAGTCAAGATGGCGATGGTATCACTTGGTTGTCAAGCATTAGCAGACCAAGCTATACGTGGAAAAGAACGGATGGCATTGCGCTTTTCGGTATACAACATTAAATTTAAAATTAAAAAAAATATTTTCTATAATTCACGTTTGTAGGTTTCGTGGCGGAAAATGGCGATTTGGAATTGCGAAACGTAAATGCGAAAGACACGGGAAATTACACGTGCGTCATAACGTACATGGGTCCTGACAATGAGGAACCCGTGGAAACCACTTACGAGATTCATTTGCAAGGTAAATTATTAATTATGAGCAAAATTTATTTTAAAGCGTTATCTTGATGCAGCATTTAACTTTGCCTAATTAAAAAAAAATCGTTCACAGTCGTCACGCTACCGAGATACATATTATACGGCGAGAATCGTTACCATATACGGTCTTGCGATGAACGAGATATGGATGTGTTGGTGACGTATCTTCCGTTAAAATTGAATAGCATTATATGCGAGGAGGATCTTTGCAACGCTTTTGTGTTACCTCCAACCTGCACCCGAAATCAAGTACGCGTTTTTTTCAATATATAATATATGAATATTATATTATAATTAACGTAAAAAATAATCTCACAATTGTGATCTACAACACTTATTCTCTTGTTACAGATTACAGTAAACATTTTGATAGTGCCATCGCATATCGTCAAACTAATGACAGTTGATCCCAAACATTGCAATGTCTTATGTCTTAAAGCCATTCAGGATAAACTCTCACTAGTACTGAGTAGAAATTTGCAAATCTTTCTCGGAAAAACTAGTTAGTTGATACACACGTACTTTTTTATTTTACCGCAACATATCCTCTATTTTTTTGCAGTGCAAATTAATTTCATTTATCATTCTAAATTTTTCCACAGAAAATATTAATATTTTGATTAAAGCTGTACATATGAAAGAGTTATTACTTTATACATAAAATAATTAAAATATTTATAATCTTATCGAATTAGAGGAAAAATGTTGCGGCCTGTTATTCACGATAGCATCTCTATAGAGTTTTTTAACTATAGTTATTTTCAGATTACCTTATTACGAACAGAGATTGGTGCCGATTGCTGAAAAGGCCTCAAGATGGAAAAGAGGAAGGACGGGTGCAAATACGTTCGGTGAAAAATCCAGCAATATTGGCGTGTTTTCCAGTTGTCCAGCTGGATATGGTCTTCGTGGTACACGCTGTGGTATGTGATTCGTGTGTTATCTATTGTATGAAAGGGCGAGGTACATAGAATTAGATTGGTAAATTAAAAAAATAAATAAATAAATTTTCAGTTCCTTGTAATATGGACACTTATAGCGAGGATGGTATTTCACATTGCAAAAAATGTCCGCCCGGTACATATCAGCCGAATCACGGCGCCAGAGTTTGTCGCACGTGCACTAATCCATTGACAAAAGGCTGTTATAATATGGTACACACCTGGCAATTGATTATAATTTGCAAAATATTATAAAATTGTAAATTGTTATAAACTTTAATATTTCGTAAAATTTTTCTGCATCAGTAATATAAAGAGATCAATATAAATGGTTACATATCATATAAATAAATTGTTTTTTACAGCTCTGGAATTCTTTCTCCGCCGTTATGGTAACTTTAGCAAGTTTTAGCGTGATGCTATCGATATTTTTGCTATTACTATGGATAATTTGCTGCGCTAAAAAGAAATTCTGCATAAAAAAGATGGCTAGTATTGTACCTAAAGAAGGCACAATTGAACATGAGGTAGAATTATTATTGTCTCAATATTGCAATATGTAAACATAAAATATAACAGTAACAAAATACAAAATAATTTTTTATTTTACAGGAAGACCTAGAACAACCGTTAATAAAGGATATAAGTGAAAACGGAGATCAGCAATGGGACAGCAAATACAGAATTAAAAAAAAAAGGGAAAGTTTTATATAAATAAAAGACGTCGAAAACAGAATGAAAGAAAAAAATATGAAAAGATGCACGTTCGTAAAACTGCAAAATTAACAGACATAAAGATTATTAGTCTAAAATTAATATTGTTTTCGTTACATTTGTAGGCACACGAAGATGAATGGGGATCACATCGCATAAAGAATGCTCCAATTATTTGCCCAGATTCTTATCGGTCTCATGAAGATTATAACAACTGTAAGTATGTTTAATTAAAAAATTTTAACATACAAAATTAATTTTTTTATCAATTTTATACAGATTATCCAAAGCGATCCTATCGTCAAGGACCTCGGCTACCAGAATGTGATTTCGATACCTGATAAAAAACAAAATGCGCAAAAAAATATAGAAAATAAGAAAATTATATTGCAAACAGCGCGGAAGAATTGTGTAATCTAAGTAAAGTTTGTATAAATATTTTAGACTTAATTTCTAATTGAGAATATATGTAACATCCACTGTCACAGTCCACTGTGTAACACATTTATTTTTAAGAAATGATTATACTTATTAAATATGGCACATTAATTGTCGATTATCTATTGTATTAAAAAAAAACATGTTATAAATAAATGTCATACACATGTTATATGCATATAACATTCTCATATTTATCTCTTATTCATTATATCTTATCTATAAATAATTCTTATCGTCAGAATTGTGGATGATCGTTCTTGGGATTTTAGAAGCATAGTTTAAAAAAATTATAGATTATAGATTTAGAAGTATAATAATAATTAGTAAGTTATTGACTTGCCAATGATAAGAATGATGGGAAAGATGACAGGATCAGTGGTCACAAATGAGGCTTAAATATCCAATTATGAGACTTGTTCACGACACACCAACTGGATGCAAAAAAAATAATCTGTAACAAACTTCTATCTTATTTAAAAACTACAATCAATCAATCCATTACAATATGCTGCAATAACATTGAATTGTAGAGTACAAATAATGTTGTCTAACAAGTAAATCTGTATTTGCAAAATTACAGAAAAATTTTGTAGACCTGGATGCTGAATCTTGAATGCTACAAGTGAATTATTATCACCAAGATTACAATTAGAAGTTTATAACAAAATATATTTTAAATAAGAGTTGATCTGATAAACATTATCAGATATTAATAAATGGTCTTTATTATAAACACATACATTTTCTATTGTAATAATCCTTGAGTAACCAGGTGATGTTCACAGCATTGGTACAGGATACTATATAGCTAGTTAACCTAAAAATAAAGTAATCATTAGTTTTATATGTCCATCAAAGATTTAGATACGATATTACCTAGCAAACATCAACAATAACATAACATCAATGTTATAATTTCTCACTTAACAATGTTACTACACCGTCTATGTAATATAACGTCTTATACATAACCATTATATTGTCGAGTGAGAAATTATAATTGATGTTATATTACTGTTAGTGTCTACTGGATTGTATATTCTTAAATAATATCCAAGATTTATAAAGTAAGAAACTAGAAATAACATATTTAACATTATACATACCAGAAATTTACTTCAACAATTGATGACGAACTAAGAGGAAAGGAATAGAGAATCCACTGCCACAGAATACCATGAACATTGCCAACAGCGTGTACCTATTTTGTGTGCTGAACGGAAAATTCTGCAAGCAAAAATATAACGATTAAGCGATGTTCTACTGCAGTGTCCAAATATTAGTATCAGGTGCATCGTACTTCACGTTAGAATGTTATGCAATCGGATAAACCATCACTTACATGTCCAGGAACACCGTCGTACGGATCGTGATGACCTCCTCTACGAGTCGCGCTCGTCATAAACCTCCTGACCGCTTGACGAGTCAATATACTTGCTGAATTGATCATTTTTGCTAAAATTCGGATACCAAACGTCTGAACAAAATTCACGTAGAAGATGGCGACTCGTCGTCTGCTTCACTAGCTTCACTTTCAGCAACTTTCGGTCAGGATGGCCAACCTTACTTCTAAAATGTTACTGCACTCGACGATTGCTACGCCACCTGAATTTGTGGAAATAAACAAGTATTTAATAGCGCGTCGAACAAGTATAAATAAGTATTGTAATTGTAATTTTATTGTATACTCCATATGATTGAATTGTTCGGAAAGTTGGTAGAAATTTTTACGAAAATTTGTAGACAATATTTTCATACTTAGATATACCTTTGGTCAATAATATATCGACCGTTTTTTTCAATGACCTTTTGTCAGCTTTTAAGTAGTTTCATAATTCCATTTTCTCGGAACTTCTTATCTTTCTGGAAGAAAAACTGTTCAACATAATTTTCTCAATCCCTACAAATTTTCCGACAACCCAATAATAAGTAAAAAACAAATTAACTTATATAAAAAAAATCAGATAGAAAACATCTCTAGATCTAATAAATAATACTAATAAAATTCTCTAATGCACAAAGTATCTTTTTAATATAATAATATTTTAGTAATAGAAAAAATACATTCTAAAATTTGTGTTCTAACAAAAATTATGTGATTTTTGTATGTAATTGTGAGCTATTTTAATGATTATATCATCTGTTACTAAAATAATATTGCATATGCACAGTTTTACGTTACAATAGCGCGTTAAATATAAAAAATTAACAATTTAAATAGACTAGATTAAATAAATTATAAATTATATATACAATATATAATTTCTTCAACATTATTTATTTAATTGTGCAATTAAAGAGATAATAAAAGATAACAAAATAATAAATTTGAATAAAATAAAAATAAAATAAGTTTGATAAGCCATGTTATATTTTGCATAAAAATTTATAATTAATTTATAACACATTTAAACTAGCTATTTGGTGTTTTTTTATTATTTACATAATTAGAAAATATTTTACTAGCAATTTATGTATTTCACGATTAATTAAGGCCGGTATTCATAGTCATTTCTTATATTTAAGATCGTCTTAAGTCGTCGTCATCGTCGTCTTAAGATACTAATATGGCTTTTTGATTGGTTCGTAGCATTTTAAGACAAAACTTAAGACAATCTTAAATATAAGAACGGACTATGAATACCGGCCCAAGTCTTCTTATTTTTTATTTACTCATAATTAAAAATTATTAATCATTTAAGTAACGATCGCCTTTCTCTTGTTTCATCCCAAGGAGCACCGCTATAGGCTTACTAGTCTACAAATTCTCAAGAAGTTAAATTAATCTTTGAGCTATATGAGAAATTGAGAACACATTAAATTATACAAGTATCTCATAAGAATCTTCATCAATTATAAAATTAAATAGTAAGACAAAAGAAAAAAGCAATAATGCCGTTGGAATTTTTTGATATGAATAAGAGAAACGTGATCATGCTGCCTAGTACTTTTCGCACGAATTCTTGCGACCGCCTTTAGCATTCAAATGTTGATGCCTAGTACTGAAATAAGATAATGAGACAGGAAGCAGAGGATTAAATAGGATGCGTTACAGTAACAATAGCTGCTGAGTATGAACGCATTTATTTCTGCAAGGTAGCTGTAAGGTATAACTGTAAAGAATATTAGAATTTTATTTGAATATTTCATTTTTTAATCGTAAGATTATTCTAAAGCTTAATTAATCTGAACTATATCACAGTCAGTAATTTTTCCTTTTTCGTGCAATATAATTTCGTAGTTAATTAATACAATTTGCATTGTATTTTATTTTAGCCTCAATAAGCAAAATGCAGATTGATCTGCCAATTATTAATATTTGGCTATCTGAATTATTAACATATAATTTCTAATAAATTGCACAAAAAAGTTTTATATTTGTCTTGAATATTATAATAATAATCGCAGATTTTTGTTATCGTATATTATATATCAAATGTGTTTATCATTAATTTATTATAACAATTGTAATTTATTCATGAGAGAGTAACCGATAAAAGTATTGTATTTGATTAATCTTCCCACATCTTTAAATATAAATATATGTCATAATGATAACACAGAGAAATGTTCAAATAACCAACAGCTAATTATCGCATAATAAGGTACGATTTAATTAATTAACTCTGTTGATCTCGTGGCTATCGCAATATTTAGAGCAATTTATTAAACATCGCGACGTCGTGTTATCGCGTAACAATCGAGTGTACGCACATCCTTTTGTACTTCGCTTTTGTGAAATCACAAAGACTTTAATTAGCAACCATTTACGAGTTGTCTTTGGCAACCGTTATGAATTGAGTACGGGCTTAAACGGTGTATCGTATCTCACACACGTGCACGTCAAAATGTATGTGCGACAAAGTGAAACGCACTCACACACCTGAAACTTTGCTCACCTTTTTTTTTTCTCAAAGCAAGAGAGCGCAGAGACCAGGTAAAAAAAGCAAATTTCAGGCGTAAGAGTACTATTCAAGAGACGCGCTAACTGTACGAGTGCACAAAAAAAATGAAGGGGGTCGGCGATGACACCGACGTCACAAACACACCTGAAACTTTGCTCACCCAACATTAAAAGTACGGGCCGAGCAAAGAGTCAGGCCCGCCTGTAACGCTTAGCATTCTTCCATTTCTTCAATTTTCTTCGGCTTCCCCGTCGACGTTAGCTGCGTTACATAATAATTCCTAAATGGATAAAACGAAGCAAAAGCTTTTATCCTACGTCAAAGTAAATATTTCAAACAATATCACTAAAAATAACTTTCTCTTTTGCTTCATGCTGCTTTCAAATAAATTAAATTCACTCACAGACCGAAAAAGCCTTTGCTCCGTTTTCTTTAAATTAAAAGCTATTAATTTCACTTTTATTTATACAATTCAATAATCTGTTATTAACGCATAATATTTATATGAATATAAATTAATACCTTCTATCGAATTTTTATATTAAAAAATTATTCTTTCGAATATATTATCAAAATACATATATTCCATATTCTTCGTAGAAGTGGAAGAAGATTCATCATACCTGCAACAAAGAGAAATCCCAATTAGATATGATATTGCGATAAAAAAAACCATGTTTAAAACTAATGACATACACAAGTAAAAAAATATCTACGTTGCAATAAAAGTGATATTATATTAAATATATAAATAGCATTTAATATAAAAACTATTACATGCCATTTTTTATTTATATCTCTTATATATTATAAATTGAATGGATTATAATAGTTAATTATAGTAGTTTAATTCAGCAGTTATTTCAACATTTTTTAGCTCTGCTACATAAAATATGCACTAAACTCAATTAAAATTCGCATCGCTTTAACGCGCAAGTTACAACGTCACTCTGTAAATTTATGAAACGTTCCATCCACTTCTCGTGCCTCCACTTTTTTCAAAAAACAGTAATAATAAAAGTACTGATTTATATTAAAACATTACTAAACGTAACAGCTATTATACGCCGCAGCTTCAATTTGTGGCGGTGTTTATTCACTGCAACGGTAATTCAACGCTCATTTAAACATTTTGTCCGCGCCGCTACATGATACACACTGACCCAACGGTAGCCCAATTAAAATTCGTGTCACTTCAGCGTCGCTCTGTAAAACGCGATTTATGAAACTTCCCTTCTCGCCCTCCCGCCGGCCCCTCGTCGTTCCACCTTTTAACTCAGAGTTTTCCGTATGCGCGACGGGGTTTGTACGCGCGAGGCGCGCCGGACGTTTTGACGTTGTTCCTGACGTTCGTGAAAGCGCCCTTTCTTCGCAGCACACGGCGCGCGATCGTGCGATGACTCGCATGATAGCGAGAGCTCTCGGCAGAGCAGAGCAGAGCAGAGCAGAGCAGAGCAGAGCAGAGCAAACGGGCTAGGGTCCGTGATGGGGAGGATAGAGTCCGCTTTCATTTGGCGTGCATGCACACGCACGTACGTGAACGAGGAGAGAAAGAGAGAGAGAGAGAGAGAGAGAGAGAGAGAAAAAGAGAGAAGTGATCATCAGTGCTCTCGTGGAATGTGAGCATCAGGAGGAGAGATACGAGATTACGTCAGGCTCTGGCTCCATTTAAATGCCCGGCATTGCTGAAATTGGTCCGAGGATGACCCCTGACTTTGAGACCCGTCTCGTCTTTTTTGTCCGGTCAGCTCGTCCCCTCCCTTTGGCAAGACAGGGCGCGTGAGTATCCGTCGCCACAAAGGGACGGTCACGAACCAGAGAAGATCAGAGAAAGAGAGAGAGACACAAAGTCTCGAAGAAAGCTGGCTGTGAAGAGATGCCGCGTTATCGCCGGTTCATCTGGAGTCTTACTTCAAGCTGGCCGCATGAAGTTGACTGACGTTTTATAAAAAATGAAAGGGTTTCAATTAGAGAAATTTTTTTTCAATTAAAAAATTTCTATTTCTTACGATAACTCGCGTTTCCTTTCACAAGACAGGGGTGTAAATATCCGTCGCTACAAAGAAACAATTACCAGAAAAGAGAATCTCGGAGAAAATCCGGATACAAAAAGATGTCGCATCATCGCCGGTTCGTCTGGAATCAAGCTGGATATGCGAAATCGACATTTCTTAAAAATTGAGGAGGTTTCAATTGATAAAACTTTTCAAAGAAATGTTCTCAATTTAAAAAATCTCTTTTTCGCAATAATATCCGTCCTCTTTTTCAGAAGAGACGGCGCGGGAATATCCCTCGCTTCAAAGGAACGGTCACGAACCAGAGAAGAAAGAGTCCCGAGGAAAGTCGGCTACGAAGAGATGCCGCATTATCGCCAGTTCATCTGGAATCTTATTTCGAGCTCACGTAAAGTCGACGTTTCTTAAAAAGGGAGTTTTAATTAATAAAAATTAAAAAAAAAATTCTTTATCGAAAAATCTCTGTTTCGTGCAATTATGCGAACTCTATTTTACAAATCAAAGCGCGTGAGGATTTATTACTACAAAGAGATGCTAAAAGATAAAAAAGAAGACTAGAGAAGAGAATAACGAAAAAGAAATCGAAGAAATGTCGCGTTATCGTCAGTTTAATTAAAATTCTGCTTGAAACTGAACATGTGAAATCAATGTATCTTAGAAAATAAAAGGATTGTAATTAACAAAA